GGGGGGGGGGACATCTTTAATGGATTGACATACAAAAGACACAAAACAGCACACACATTATATGCATGCATCTAATATACAGTATTTGATGGCATGCATGCATGATCTACTTTCCAGACCCCGTTGAAGATATAAGAAGTCCATTAAATAAATAATACTTGTAGTTGTATTGAGTAAGCCACAAACGAGAGATCCCAGACGCATTTAGAGGTCCTATTACCTATCCCAAAATTAAAATAAAATCTGGAATAAATCTCGGAATAAATCACGTAGAATTAAACAATATTTGGAAAGTAACGAAATACTTCGCCAAAAATGAAAATAACGAAGTGAAACGTTACTTCTTACTGCTTCGTTCCAAGTAAAAGTACTGCAGAGAAAGTTTACTTTGTTACATGCTGACTTCTCAAAAATAGTACTCAAGTACAGTAACGAAGTACATACAAACTTCAAGTCGTATTTTGAAGTTCAACTGCGTTGTTCAAAGTTAGGTCATTTGCGCATTAGGTAGGTCGATTTGCGCATTAGTTAGGTCGATTTGCGTTAGGTCGTTTTGCTCGTAACTTACTGTCGTTAATAGCAGGTTGTACTCGACGATGTGAATTTCTTGTCTTCTGTGTGGTTTAACGCAAGTCAATCTTTTCTGATTGTAGATATATATGAACATTCTTGTAGTTGTTTTTACAGTGCGAGACTTGTCCTGGCCTGAGCTTGCTTTGCCTTTGGTCTACATTTTTGTAGTGTATTGTGAAACTCATTAATAATTCATGAAGAGAACACAAAAGAAATCATGAGCGTGAAGGAGTTTGTAGATCTGATGCAGAAATCATGCTGATTTACATAAAATTTAAGTTTATGATTTTCTCACGAAATATATCATTCATTTATTTTAAATTGTTGAAGAATACGAATGTTTTCATCGAGACGTTTCTCAAGCTATATAAAGCCTCCGTGTTGTATCAGACATACAACCTCTCGCCTTCGGCTCGAGTTTGTAAATCTGAAATTTTAGAAGTCTAAGATGGGCATTTTCTCGGAACCACAAATTTTAGCACACTTGGGTAGTATGATCTGTCACGCGGAGTTGTTCGGGAAATTTGCTATTACGCGTTCAATTTTTAACCAACCTGCTTCATATTTGCACCAAATGTTGCCAAGTAAACGCTCTATATACTAATACTGGAAACTATTCAATTTTAGAAGTCCAAAATGGCCATTTTATCAGAACCACCAATATTAGTACACTTGGTCTTGGGGAATATGATCTGTCACATGAAATAACAACACCCTACGGGTTGTTCAGGAAATTTGCTGCTGCGCGTTCAAGTTTTAGCCAATCCGTTTCATATTTGCACCAAATGTTGCCAAGTAAACGCTATATATAGTAGTAGTGGATAATAAACAAGACATTTAATAGTTTTTCAAATATTTTGGATTGCCTGAAGTCAAGGTACCTATCTTCCGCGAATTTATGTTCGCTCTGGTTTTACTCAAATTATCATATTGTTCACACTTCCTGACGACCATTGCATGCCATTGTTGAGTTTCAAAATCAAAACATCTGTTGAAGGATTAAACGTGGGAGATAATAACAAGCCCGAACAAGAAAAGACAAAAATGCAGTGATGCTTAAATTACTTTGAATTTGTACTCGAGTAGTAAAAGTAGAAATAATTAACAATAAAACGACTTGAGTAAGAGTAAAAAGTACTGGAAGCAAAACGTACTTAAGTAAAAAGTACAAAGTATCCTTAAAAAATACTTGAAGTAAAAAGTAAAAGTGAAAGTATACTATTGTCTGTAGCGTGTAGGGGGGGGGGGAGGGACTTCTTTAATGGATCGACATACAAAAGACACAAAACAGCACACACATTATATACATGCATCTAATATACAGTATTTGATGGCATGCATGCATGGTCTACTTTCCAGACCCCGTTGAAGATATAAGAAGTCCATGCATTAAATAAATAATACTTGTAGTTGTATTGAGTAAGCCACAAACGAGAGATCCCAGAAGCATTTAGAGGTCCTATTACCTATCCCAAAATTAAAATAAAATCTGGAATAAATCTCGGAATAAATCACGTAGAATTAAACAATATTTGGAAAGTAACGAAATACTTCGCCAAAAATGAAAATAACGAAGTAAAACGTTACTTCTTACTGCTTCGTTCCAAGTAAAAGTACTGCAGAAAAAGTTTACTTTGTTACATGCTCACTTCTCAAAAATAGTACTCAAGTACAGTAACGAAGTACATTTACTTCGTTACTTCACAGCACTGCAAAAATGTGAAAAGGCAAAGCATGCATTTTAATCTAAGTAATAAGAACGAAATCTATCAACACAGCTAGAAAGAGCGTTTTGGAATTAGTAATATTACAAAGTTTGGTTGCGAAATGTTGTAAAATACGGAAAATATAGCCCTTCAAAGTTGGCAAATTTGTATACTTTTGTATTACGTGCGTGAATTGGTAACTAAATTAGTTACCAATTTCCGCACGTAATAGAAATGTATACAAATTTGCCAACTTCGCAGGGCTATATATTTCCGTATTTTACAACATTTCGCAACCAAACTTCGCAGTTTTTCTAATTTTGATAACTTCTTTCCAAAAATATCCTTTGTTATTCCCAGATTAAAAATTTTTCCAAAGCGCAAGTCGTCCATTAAGCTTCAACATTTAAAGCACAGTGAAGCCTCTACGGCAAATAAGCTGTGGAAAAAAGACATTTAAAAAAAATTTTGTTCGCTTTGTCTTTGCAAGCCCCAAAGGGCAAAGGTAAAATTTTCTTTTGTATTCCTGCTTATATACTGTATATACTTAGTTTCACAACAAGGCTTTATTTGAGATGAACATAAGTTGTTTCCCCATTCACTAAGGAGACAACTGCAGACAGACTGTATGCACTGTAAACTAATGTTGTATCTCGTTTGTAGTGATCATTCTCGAATTGAGTTTGCTCAAAAATGGAACAATTCGAGGTAATTGTAATGAATTTACTATTTTTATATCATATTTTTATATATATATACAGCCGATTCAAAACAGGTTGACCTTTAAACTATAAACATTGAGCACCTAAGGTATGACAGGTTTAAGAAAGTGGCGGATTCGGAAAGAAAAAATAAGAAAATAAGAAAAAAGATAGGGATACAACTACCTGAAAAATACAAGGAGAATTTCGACGTTTCGAGCGAAGTCCTTCGTTGGGAAATTAGTATGAAGGGCCTTCGTTGGCTACTAACTTTGCCACGAATGGCCTTCGCTCGAAACGTCGAAGTTCTCCTTGTATTTTTCAGGTAGTTGCATCCCTATCCGAAGGCGAAGCTTTCTTATAATGGGTATATTGCTTATTTGGAGTCTAAGATTGGACAATTAGCTTGGTGATAGCCCTACATCAAAAGTGCATGATCCTGCATATATATGCCCTAGCAAATGTTGCAAAGCAAGTGAAGATTGCCTTGTAGACCTTTGCAAACGTCCACTTTTGTCAAATGTTTTAACCACGAAATGTCGTCAGCGAATAGGCAATTCCAGCTTTTAATTTATGCGCGCAGGGGGTGACGGGAAGTAAGGTATCATATTGCTGATTATGCTGAAAAATTTCAATAAAACTGCCGAAATATTTCAATATCACTCCGTGTTTACACGGCCGCCATTTCTATTTTTTCAGCATAATCAGCAATATGATACCTTACTTCCCATCCCCCCCCCCTGCACGCATAAACTAAAAGCTGGAATTGCCTATAGCGAGAAGAAGCATCTTCAAATTTACGAAGTAAAGTAGTATATTGGGTATTATAGAGATCGCTTATCTTTCATCACATAAAAGATATACTGTATAGAGTAATATACCGGGTATTCCGAAAGTTGTCAAAAACTCAAAATGGAAGTGCATGACAAGGAGCAACTTCGATGTTTTGCTTTTTCTGTGAAAATGCAAGCGGAATAATGAATGTAACAACCTAAAAACTAGAAATAATTGCAGTCTACATGCGCAAGAAGTAGTATTATGCAAGAAAATGAACCAAAGGTGACTCGGTCGAGCAATTTATTGTATAAAAGGTTCTTTAATAACTGAACCATACAAAGATTCTTTAATTTTCTCGTATAATATATATAACTTATATTTTGTGTTAAACTTAGTAAAGCAATACTTATTATCAACTTTGAAAGCAAAGGGCTATGCGAAGGATGATCTAAGCTGAGATAATAGCGTTTTAACGCTTTACATTACTCCAATAAACCAGTGATTCTGTGAATGGAAGCGAGGAGTGATTAGTTTCAGAGTGTTGCACTGTCCTTTTCTGTTTGAGAGTACTCCGACGTTTGTTTTTTTTTTATCATCAACACTCTGCACGTTGGAATGGACTAAAATACTTAAAATGGGGGTCTGGAGTTATCCGGAAAAGTCCCTCGGTTGGATTCATCAGTGACGAATAAAGATGTAAATATACCAGGATATAAAGTTTACAGACTCGATCGTCGACACAAGAAGGTCATGTTGGAAACTAAGGCCATGTTGTTTAGAGTACTCAAAACTCTATGAATTGTACATCGAGTCGTATTGAACCCGGTGTCAGAGCGGATACTGTCCTTCCCCCACTTTTTTAGTTGTTAGCTACTTTTGCCCCCAGTCAATAACACACACACACACACACACACTTTTTAACAATGGTTAGTGATAAACCACAAAGTTAAATGATATTATTTCAGTTACGCATGTAGAGAAAACAATTTGAGATATTTTATAACATTTTGTTACCTTTAGAACTCTGTAAATCTCCTTCTAAAGTGCAGGTGGGCATGCCCCTGAACCCCTACAATACTCGCCTTTGGTGGGCGCTGGCCCCCCCCCCCCCAATTTTACAGCCGTTCCGACGCCCTGCCTCCCGCAAGAGTTCCCGGACACAGTTGTCTGGATAGTTCATGTTGTGTTTTAAACGGATGAAAAAAGTGTGCTTTAATCGGCTTTTGCAAATCTATTAGGAAAGAATTTAAGGTTTCTTCATTTCTCATTAGATAATACCTGAAAGTGTGAAAGTATTGACAGTAACAGTTATCAAGGCAACTGGTGTTTCCGTTGGTGGATTTTCTGGAAACAGTAAGCTATTATTTTAACTGCCTGGTCAAACGTGGGTGGGAGTTGATGAGAGTTGAGAAGCGAGAGTTTGCATGAGAGTTTTCTCAACTCTCATGCCTGGGTCAAACGAGAACAAGAGTTGCATGAGACTTGATGAGAGTTGAGAAGCGAGAGTTTGCATGAGAGTTTTCTCAACTTTCATACCTGGGTCAAACGAGAACAAGAGTTGCATGAGAGTTGATGAGAGTTGAGAAGCGAGAGTTTGCATGAGAGTTTTCTCAACTCTCATGCCCTGGTCAAACGAGAACAAGAGTTGCATGAGAGTTGATGAGAGTTGAGAAGCGAGAGTTTGCATGAGAGTTTTCTCAACTCTCATGCCTGGGTCAAACGAGAACAAGAGTTGTGCGAGAGTTGATGAAAGATGAGTAGATATTACCAGTGAACTCTATGGAACGATACATAACTCGTGCTGTGTTTTCGAAGCCAAGATGGCGGAAATTGAAGCCCGTCTTGTAGGTATGATCCAGGCCCCTACACGGAAATTCGCTGAATTCAGTGCGAAAAATCGGCATCATTTCATGTAGAAATTTCATAATTTTGCGGCCGACTATTTTTCAGTAAGTCCCGTCTTCTCGTGGCCCTAATGAACTAGAGCAAGTGGTCCGTCAGAATTACTAAATCTTAGAAACACTTCATCATGAAAAGCAAAGTTATTTGACGACTGAAAAAACTCGTGGAGAGACACCAGCAAGATTCTGTTTTTCTGGATTATATGAGGGATTTGAACTGAACACAGAATGCACTGCAGTTGCATCAATCTCATCTTTTCGTTTAGTTTTTAGCTTTTAGGTAGGGTATTTACTATTAAAATGAGCAATTTATGCAAATTATGTGCAAAAATTGAAAAACATCGATCGCAACACTTTAGTCATTTTTCAGCCTCCGCGAAGCTGTCATACCTACAAGAGAGCACTATATATAGCTAGGGTGGCCGGACATTTTGCCGAAAGACACTTTGCCGAACGGACATTTTGCCGACGGACGTTTTTCTAAGATCAGTACATGTTTTTGGCAACGTATATTTACGAGCATGCGCAGTACAAGAGAAACGAACACGTTTGTTTTTGAGAATCGAACTCAAGTTGACGTTTTATAAAATTTTTCCTATTTTATTTGTATTATTGGTGAATAAATTTTTATATACGAGATGTTGTCGTCGGAACGGACAGTTTGACGAACGGACAATTTGCCGAAAATAGAGATATCTTCTGAACTTTAAAGGTTCGCTTATAGTCCAGCGGATATGCACAGATATTTGAGAAAATCATGCACTTTGTGAAGAAAGCACCAAATTCACAGGAAGTGTAGACTTTAACATGATAATGAATCTTAGATATGGAGGCATCACCAAAATTGATGCTGACGGCTTAAAATTTAGGATTTCTTATATTCTCTTATTAATCTCTTATACTATTAAAAATTGTGAAATTGCAGGTTCACATATAGCAAAAATGACATGCGTCATTAGAAAGCTTACAAAAAACTGTATATAAGACATTTAAGCAGTTACTTTGATTTACCAACTCCTCTGGAGTTATGAGCGGTTGAAAATATGTTTCAGGGCTAGTGTCCAGGACTTTGGCGGGATTTTTGCTTATTTATCACGTTTTTAAATAGTAATAACTGGAAAACCGCTTGGAAACTCGATCAGCCGTTTAAAAGTCTTATATGTAGTTTTTTGTAAGCTTTCTAATCATGCAAGTCATTTTTGCTATATGTGAACCTGCAATTTCACAATTTTAAACAGCAAAAGGGTTTAATAAGAGAATATAAGAAATCCTAAATTTTAAGCCGTCAGCATGATTTTTTACTTTTCCGCTAGACTATTACGCGGTCAAAGTTTCTGTGATTAATTTAATTTAAAGTCATTGTGGATTTTGACGACAGAAACTTTGATAGCTTCAGTATAGGTTCGTTTTCAGTATATGATGTTCGTTTATTCCCGAGAACTGTGAATGTATTCCATGATTCTCGAAGTGAAATTCGCTTACGTCGTTGTCTTTATATATACGCTTGTTTGTTTGCGACCTGACGTCAAAACACGTTCCTAAAAAAAAAGTCCGCTGCATAAAGAAGCTGTCAATATAGTTATGCACTGCTAACGAACCATTTTGCACTGCTAATGACGCATTATGCACTGCTAATGACCATGTAATGGTTATTTTACACAATGGTTGAGAATTGCACAGTTGAGAAATGAGTCACAGTCCCAAACATTTTAACGAAATAACATCTCTATTTTCGGCAAGTTGTCCTTTCGGCAAACTGTCCGTTCGACAAAATGTCCGTTCGACAAAATGTCTTTCGGCAAAGTGTTTTTCGGCAAAATGTCCGGGTACCCTATTTTTAGGGTATCTTGACTTCACCCAATCATAGGACAGTTTATACCTGGACTTAACGTTCCAGTATTTATGGAGTTCACTGGGTATTACTGATCAAACGACCAAAGCTTTTGTCAACACTCTCATCAACTCTCATCAACATTGAGGCCTGCCCGGTGGTTTAAATTTTGATGAGAGTTGATAAGAGTTGGCGGTCACACTCTTAATTTGTCTTTTTAGTGGACACACCAGATCCATATGTGATGCTCAGAGTTCGTTCCAGTCCTAACGCAAAACAACGAACAACGACGAAAGGAGATGACGTCAATCCTCGTTGGAATGAAACTTTTAAGTTTTATTTGAATCCTGAGAAGAAAAACATACTGGGTATGAATGTAACTTAAACCGACTTTCTTTTTACTGTTGGCATGAACGCCATACGAAAATTGGTGGGACATTGCCCAAGGACAAATTGATTAAATTTTGGTTAAATTAAGATAAAGATTGAATGAGAAATTAAATGCTTGGCATACTTAATTACCCCCTGCGGTTTCGACCTCAATACTTATCGTTGAAAGAAATATACTTAGGTACATAGCATGCATCAACAAGAATAAATAGTTTATACCTTTAGTAGAAGCACTTGAAATCCAGTTTTAAAATCATGACTGGATTTCAAGTGCTTCTACTAAAGGTATAAACTATTTATTTTTGTTGATGCATGCTATATACCTAAGTATATTTCTTTCAACGATAAGTATTGATTAGTGATACATTTTAGTGTAAAAAGTCAGAATATTTTTGAGCTAATCGTTAACAAATGTTATTATTTTGAGATCGAAACCGCAGATTTAAATTTAAATGCTTGGCATACTTAATTACCCCGCAGCTTTGCCGGGCTATGCCGGGCAGAATAAACTGAATACGTAATTAGCCCAGTGTATATAATTTATGCACTATACATAATTTCATTCGCTGGTGGAGGTATGGAGTTTCCGAGTAACCTCTGCACACGTAAAAATCTCACAACTTGTCAACAACATGTGTTCGCAACAGGCTTGTAGCAAGCTTGTCAGCAAGTTGTAACAATGCTGTTATTTTATCAAGTTGCTACAGGGTTGTCACTCGCGACCAGTGAACTCTAATAATAACTGGAAGGCTAACTCCTATGATCAAAGTCTATGATTCGTTGAAGCCGGCGCGCGGGAAAATCAGCTTTCAAAGGGACTAAGGAGAGTTTCGAGGAGTGAAAAAAATTCTGTCAAAAGTTTGTTTTCGAGCAAAAATTTGCAAGAAAAACACTTTTCCCATGGGAATACAACAATGACTTGGGATTTAAACCAAGTTTCCGATTAGTTCCGACTGTTTTACATCTCTCTGCAGCAAAAAGTAAGGAATTTTGCTTTTGTATTTTGAAAAAATGACGAAAGTTTGGACGTGCCGAAGGAAATCTCGCCGTTCAAACCAAAAATATATACTATAAAACATTTTGACAGTCCCAAAACTTATGTTGTACTAAACCCCAGGTATCGTTATTGATCCTGAGCTTTTAGTCCTTGTTTTAGTCGCTCTTAAACATAAATAAATATGCGTTTTTCAAGTGATGTTATTTTCGTCATCGGCATCTTGTTGGCCACTATGAGCACTTTGAATATGGCAATATTTTTGTCAATTTTCAAATGCTTTTTTTTCGACCTTAAAACGTTAAATCTTCTTGAAACTTCGCATACCGATGTATTTTGCATGGGTATAAAAAATTCCTGAGGTATGACGTCTTAGTTTTATCTTAAACTTCCAAAAACTCAGAAAAAGCAGCCTAAAACGCGCGGTTTTTCAGACCGTTCATGCTTATGGTCGTGTTTTCGCATTTTTTTTGCTAATTCGTGATTTGTTTGCTTTGCGAATATTAAATTCATTTATCATACTACTGATATAAATTAAATTTGGTAGTATAACTAATATTTTGGGGCAAGATTTTTCTGATCAAAAAATGTGCATATTTTGAAAAAAAAAATTAAAAAGGACTGGGTCTACCTACAAAAAAAGCTTCAAGCACGGCTTCAATTTCCCCCCCTGACTTAGCCTTCCAGTTATTATTAGAGTTCACTGGGCCAACCCATTGAACTATAAATAAACTGGAAGGCTAACTGCTATGATGAAGGCCTATGATTTGATGAAGCCAAAATAGTTTTTCTGAGTTATGAGCAGAAATACTTGACCCCAAACGTCGGCCTATATATCAAATTGAAGCTATTGAAAATTGCTATTCGGTGTGGAAATTTCAAGACTTCAGCGAAAAGAAAAATCTTTAAAAAATACAAAAACAACTGCCAAACGGCAAATTATCGGTAATTATGTTTGTAGTTTTTCAATATTTCCCTTTTAGCTAAAGTCTTGAAATTTCTACACCAAATAGTGTTTTTCAATAGCTTCAATTTGATATATAGCCCAATGTTCAGTGTTGAGTATTTCTGCTCATAACTCAGAAAAACTAAAATGCACTGGCTTCAATTTCCCCCCCTGAGTTAGCCTTCCAGTTTATTTATAGTTCAATGGGCCAACCTCGTCCCCAGGGCCTATTGAGGAAGGAGGCGAAGCAGCAAAGGCCCTGGTAAAGGCTGGTCACGTGATGCTTCAAATTTTGAATATTTCAGAATATTTAACTTTTCAAACCGGGGGTGCGGGCCGCTTTGATTTTATCAAACATGGCCGTGCAAAGGGGCGATAGAAGCTTTTGCGACTGAAACTATGATGATAAACTTTTCAACTGACAGTGGAAATAAATATATAGTCTGCGATGTTCTTCAAAAAAATATGGAATATAATCAACAGCAATACTTGTCGAAGATCAAGATTCAAAGAGAAGAGTCTAAACACTGACTGACAACAGTGGCGCCGGCAGGATTTATTTTTGGGGGAGCAAATCATTCGAGTGCCAAAGGCACGAGCCTATTAGGGGGGTTCGGGGGTATGCCCCCCCCCGAGAAAATTTTGAATTTTGGGTGTCTAAAACCGCATTTCCTGCGTTTGGGAGGCACTTTAAGAGAAACATAAAGGTTTTAATAAATCACTTTTTTAGTAGATCGGAACATAATTGATTTCCATACAATATATGAATCAAATGTATTTTTAATAAAACCAAGAATGAAATGAAGAATTTAATGTTATAATACATATTTAGTACAAGTTCCATCTTCGGGGAGCTGCGTCGGTAAATCGTTCAACGAGTCTTTCGATGTCGAGACCCCGACAAATGTCAGATTCCACGGACATGAGCATCAGCGATTCTAGTCGATCTTGCCTCATCGTCGACCTCATGCGATTTTTTATTATTTTCAGCTTGGAAAATGAGCTCTCAGCAGATGCTGATGTCGAAGGGACAGTAAGGGCAATCTTAATAATTTTTGACAAATTGGGGGAAGCATTCGGGTTCTTGAAGAAGTTCGCGGTATAAATCAACCAAAGACGGCTTTCGTTCTTTCGTTTCCTTGGCCATTACACGCAACCGTACACTTGACAACCAACTATTTACACACCGCACCCCCCCCCCCTACGGCATCGGATTTGGATAAATCCAAAAACCCACCCTGGAAATATTGGGGGGGCGGCTGCCCCCCTCGCCCCCCCTTGCCGGCGCCACTGCTAACAACCCTCAAATGTTCATTAGATAGCTACTACAAATATGTGTAAGAACTTCAAGCAATGATCCTCTACTTATTTCAGCTGTTGGAATATTGCAATATACAGTACGTTGTGAGCGACATTTGTTGTATGCGTTCGCGTATAATTAACCCAAGAAAATTCAAAATGGCCGACATATATATATATTCGAAGGTATTATATATATATATATATATATATATATATATATATATATATATATATATATATATATATATATATATATATATATATATATATATAT